TCTAAATTACATGTGATTTTGATACTGGGATTGCTTCCGCTGCATATAATAATCCATCAAAATAATGGAGGAAGAAACGATGAAGAAGACGGATGTAATTTAAAAAAAAGGGTATAGCGCCAGTTATTGTGGCGCTATATCTGCGCCGTGTCAGCTTTTGCAGTATAGCGCCACAATATCTGGCGCTATACATTAACGGTGCCGTTACCGTTAATGTATAGCGCCAGATATTGTGGCACTATACATAAAAATGTAACTTTTTGTTTACTACTTATTTGTGTACTTTGAGTCCAAAAGAATCACATTTTGATTCCGGACTCTAAAATTATAACATTCAGAATTGAAAGAATGCCAGTGAAGGTTGATATTTTTGATGTATCATCTTTTGCTATAGAGCATACAAGAATATGAGAAACATAATACTTCACCATAGTATTTGAGACAATTTTTCTTGGTTTTTAAAACATCTTAGTAATGTAATAGTTTGCAATTCGATTCCACCAATTTAGTGTTTGCATCTCACTTAGATTAAGATTTCTGAATCCATAAATATCTGCTCCTTTTGTTCCCATTATTTCGTGGGTCTAATTTTAAAATGACCTGGTACTAAATCGTTTTCGATATTTTTTAGGGTATTAAAAGGTCATAATATTTCTTAATGTATTAAGTTTGGCTGAGCAATGAACTGGCGCCATGTTATAGTATGTTGGTTTTGTTTTTTTAATTCATTACATTACGATAATTCAAGTGTCTCTTCTTCAACTGCTTTTTGGGACCATTTGTATTTTATAGCTGTACCAATATCTATTTATTTTACAACTCAAAAAGTAAATGAGGCAAAGATTTAATGCATATTTTTATCGCTGCCAATCATTCATTCAAAGTTTTTCCCTCTCAAGTTTCCAACTTACATATATTTATTTTTTGGTTTGTTGCAAAAGGAATAAATTAACTTAAAATTCTCATTTTATTTTTATAAACAAGTTTTTAGAGCTACACAAATTATATAGCATATTTAATGTAATGTTACATGTTTCAAAGTCTTATCGCCACGTAAATACTATCGCATATTTAAAACGATTAATTTCAAAAGTCTTTATTTATTTTGTAAATTTCGTAGTATTAAATATCATGAACTGTATATACCTTTNAAAAAATTGTATTCCTTTTTGCCTAGTACTTATTTCTTTTCAAGTTCAAATATAAATAATCTTACAAAAAAATGGACAAAAGAGTTAATGAAATGCCAGACTTACCCGGAAAAAGCTTTCCACATTTTGACTTGGTATATTATTTCTCCTTTTATTTTAGTCTATAGATTGGCTTGTGCATATTTGTATCTGTGTTATTTATTTATTTATTTATATATTTATTTGTTTATTTATTTCATCTGGTCATATATGTTGTCAGGAAACTGAACTTAAAGAAGCTGAAATCTTCGAACCTACGCAAGATTATTGTCTTTGTCAATTTTAATGTTTGGTGCGTGGTTTCCTAGATGAGAGACTCCGACATCGATTTCCCTTACCAGCAGACTTTTTAGTCTGAGACTCAGAGCTCGTCGCATCGGACTTACCTAATGCGTTTACATCTCGTGTGTAGTTTGCAAGTGATTCCACAATGCATATTCGAAGAATAGTAGTTGCGGGTTTTTCCCTGAGAATTTTCTAAATAAGTAAATAAATATTAAATATCGAATACATGATGTAACATTATGTAGGCGGCTTGTCTAATGCGGTTCACTAAGTTTGTTGTAACATACGATAAAATTAATGATAGGAACTGAATGTTTTAATCTATAACAACAACAACGACCCAGTATATTCCCATAAGTAGGGTCTGAGGATGGTGAGATGTACGCAACCTTACTTTTATTCTTATCTTGGACGGGCAAAGACGTTATTTCTGATAGATCCTGAACTAAAGAAAATATGAAAGAAATATTGATACTAAGTAATAACAGTACAAGAATATTTTAATCTATCAAATCTAAAATTTCGATTCTATTTAATCTATCAAATCTAAAATTTCGATTCTATCCCAAACACAATATATGAAAGATTATCACCTTTTGACCAAAGAAAAAAGATTATCACCTCAGTATCCATTAAAAATAATTCATTTTTGGTTTAAACGTAAAACAATAAGCTAAATTTTTTGGGATTGTGAAACCCAAAAAGTAGTTTGTCCAGTAATTCACCAACAATATAGCTCCAATAAGACGTGTACAATATTTTAAAAGAAATTATTTAAAAATTGCTCTTATATAGTATAAATTTAAAAGGGTATAAATAATGTGTAAGCTTTAGAAGTCAAACATTATACATTATTTACAGAAGAACACAAATAAGTGTACAAAAATAAAATCACAAAAATGATACGAATCACTCTCCATATTACGACTAACGACAGAAAAGTAATTGCAGAACATGTGGGAGTGGTCCCTACATTTTTACTCACTTGGGTCCCACTTCTATAGAGTGTGACGTGGGTCCCACTGGAGTGCGTTATGTTCTTTCAAATATCTTTTAATTTTCTTTTTTAATTTCATTTTCGAGAATTTTGTGCGCTCCAGCTGCCTCGTAAAACGAGCGGATTCCAAATCTATATTCAAATATACTTAATATATTTCCTAAAATACACAATTCAAATTCTCTCCCACACAATTGCACAGAGTACAAACAGTTGTGAATTAAGGTACAAACGATATATACTTTTGGCCTTTGTTAGGATAAGATCCGACAGCTGTATGTTTACCGACACGTGTACGTTTAACTCTTCCCTCAATTATTTTCCCTCTCTTTTGGTTTTCAGATTATCTTCAACCGGCTCAGCTCGGCTTATGAACATGGATAATCATTTACCCTTGATAATTAGGGGGCTAAACTGTCAAACGAGATAATTTGAGGGGCTGATCTTGTTCGTTGATGTAGTTGCCGGAGATGTACCAGACAAAGTAGAACCAAAGCTGAAAAATTGACAAAAAAAGTATATAATCTATATAATTATATGCGGTATAATATCGATATAATTTTTGAGAAACTAAGCTTGTTTATAGTGTAATTTTCATTTTTATTTAAATGTATTTGGTTTTTCTTTTCTTCAACTAAGTCCAAGAGCCCATTTGAATTGACTTAAAAAAGTAATTTTTTCTAAAAATAGTTTTAAGCCAAAAAATAATAAGTTGGAGTTGCCCAACTTATTTTAAAAAACTTTTAACTTATTTTAAATATTTTTAACTTTACTAAACATTCAAAAAATTTAAAAAAACTTAAAGCTAATTTAACCAGCTTAAAAGTAAATCCTAACTATCCTCTAAATCAACAAACTATTGTCCAAAGGCGTTAAACTATTTTCCCATGTAAAATATTTTTTCTGTCACATGTGACATGTTTTTAATTTGTCGCAAAGTAATGCTTTATCTTTATATTTCAAAGCAATTTAAGTTTAATTTTTTTTATTTAATTTTAATAAGATGATTCATATTCATATAAAAATGTACGTATGATTTATTTGAAATATGTACCGTGTGGTCGCTATCAAAAGCCTCGGATTCCTTTTGTACGTCACCGGTTCAGAGATCACATTCAACTCGACTCAACACGCAACAAACCGGAAACTGAGCCGGCTCAATTAGCCGTTAACTGTTCAAACCGGTTTGAATATAATACAAAGTAGACGAAAAGAAAACGAAAGAGATAAGGAAGAAAAAGCCAATTGACCGTACAACAAGTGGGTCTCATCTTCTCTCTCTCTTCTTTTTTAGCAGAAGGAGAAGCAGAGTCGTTTCCATTCCAATGGCAGTTGTGAAGCATTTACTGTATGCTCTTTCTCTTTCTCTCTCTAGATATTTTCTCTTTCTCTCTCTAGATTAGTCTCTGAAATTCGTGCATTTTGTGTGTTGTATCAGATTGCATTTCACTCAAATCTGACTACAAAAATCTCGTTTCTTTTGGCCTCTGAAATTCACTCTTTTGCTTTGAGTGACTCATATTCACATTGAACTGAGGTACGTACGTTAACTGTAACGGATTTTATAGGTTTGCTTTGCTAGAATTTTTCACTGTTTTCTGTTTTATGCATTGTGAAAAGTTCATTTTTTTTTCTTTCATTTTGTGATTAAAACAATTCTGAGCTCTTTTCTAATTATAAGTTTTTAAGTTTCTCAAAAATTTTGGTTCAATTAATGTAACGGATTCAGTATGATGTTAGTTTCACTTTTTTTGAATTTTATGCATTGAGAAATTGCTTTTTTTCTTCTTCTTGTTAAATCAACAATTTTGAGCTCTTCTCTAATTTGCACCTTTTTGTATTAGTTATTTGGGTTAAATCAACAATTTCACTTTTTTGATGTTTTATGCATTGCGAAAATGCGTTTTTTCCTCAAATAAACAATTCTGAGCTCTTCTCAGCTTTTCAATTTTCTTAATTTTAATTTTCCCTTTTAAACGACTTCTTTTTTTAACGTTGTATTTTTAATTATTCAAGTGAAAAAGCTTTCCTTCCTAGCAAAATGAAAGTCACAGAACTTCAATTTACGAGCATTTATTGTTTATGAGTGAGCGTTTATTTCTTAAGGCAGCCTCATGCGTATTGCTTCTGCGAAAAAATCGTCTGTCTTTTTAACTTTTGTATCTTTTATGATATATCTAATTTTCATCTTAAATGCATGCTCTGGTACAAGCTAACAGAGAGTCCTGTAAAAGAAAGGTGAATTGGAAGCATTAGCTAGTAATTTTGATGGAGTTTGAGAGCTTAAGCTTAAATTAATTGCTTTAATCTTCAATTGGATATGAGTAGTGACACTGATAATTATTTTTAAGTATGTGTATATGTGTGTGTGAATGCACTGTAGATTTTAGTGGATCATGCGTTTTTGCATTTATTATACTCATGCAAAACCCGTGAATTGCTGGTTTTAATTACTTGTTGGCTCGTAGCATTCAACATTCCATAAGAAATTTCGTGTCAGTCTTATGAGATCCTAAAAATCACTACTTATATTTTTCTCTCTCCTTTGAGTATATATGGCTGGCTCTAGGAAAATGCCTTGATTGGACAGAGTAGGCATGCTTTGTGGGAATTATATCGCTACCCTTTTGACATTCTTGATATTTGCTTTTTCAGGAATTTCGTTTCAGATTTGGGGGGTTCTGGTTGATTGATTCTGCTTCTTGAAAGTTAAAAGTTCTCAGTCTTTGTCAGAGAAGCCATTTGAGGTGAATCGTGTAATTAGGAGTGGAGATTCTTTATGAAAGGAATCTTAACTGAGATTCTTGGGATTTAGTTCTGTATTGGAAGTTGGCCTACGTGACATAGAAGTTGAAGTTTAATCTGCTACCAAGTTGGTTGTTATTAGCAATTTGTTATTTGATTGTCTGATCGAAATGAGGAGCAAGGGAGAGTGGATTATTCATCATGTAGAACTCTGCAGTTTGGTTGCAGATTAGCAGTAGCTAACCTAGACTGATCTCTGTTGTTATCTTCATTGGATTCACTGTGATTAGTTAGTTGTTTAGACGTGCAAAAATGCTGGAGACTCAACTATGTCCTTCTCGGGTGTTATCGCCTTTCCGTGAAGAGAGTGGTGATGAGGAACTATCTGTTCTTCCGAGACACACCAAAGTTATTGTGACTGGAAACAACAGAACCAAGAGTGTTTTGCTGGGGCTTCAGGGAGTTGTCAAAAAGGCTGTTGGGCTTGGTGGTTGGCATTGGCTGGTGAGCCCTCATTCTTTTTAGATTGTTTTTTTTTTACCCTAACAGTCCAGAAAATGATTATTCTTCTCTTTTACAGCTTGACCTGAAATAAGTAACTGCTGAAATAGCTTCCTAATTAAGTTACTGTGAATGTAGGGTTATTCTCTTTTCTTTATAGCAAAACTTACCTATGGACTTGTTGGCAGAGTGAATTTAACTTCAATGATTTCTGTTTGTCAAATAGTTAAGCTTTTTGGACCTTGCTGTTGTGAAATCTCCTAGTTAACATCCTTGTTTTCCTTATTTTTTTGTGGTTCTGTTGTCTGTTTGATTTTGGAATCAGTTAAGAGTACTAAACTTCTTTCTCTCAAAACTGAAGGTTTTGAAAAATGGGGTTGAAGTCAAGCTACAGAGAAATGCATTGAGTGTGCTAGAACCTCCCACGGGAGATGAAGAAGATGATGATTATGACTTTGATGACTCGAGCAGTGGTTCAGACATTGTTGAAAAAGAAAGCCATCACTTTGGTTAGTCTCCATTATCCGAACTTTGTTTTATCAGTTCTTCTAAAGAGGTTTCTTATTTGATTAAAATCCTTGTATTTGGTAGCCACTGGTGTCGAGTACAGAAAAGTGAGCAAGCCTAGAGTTCGTTATACAAGGCCCACATGGGCCTTGTCTGGACCAGCAAAGACAATGAGCCGTGGCAATTGCAGAGAAGTTGAACCTAACTATTTGCAACCGGTAAGCACCTTAGTAGACATTGACTCTGTCCAGTGTTACACCTGGTTTTCATTGATGTGAATGGCTTTGTCCAGGTTACATTACTTGTTTGCATTCAAAGTGATTAAATTATAGTAGTATCTTAACTGGTTTTACAGAAACTCAAATGAAGTACAAATAGTATAAGATCCATTATGTGAATTTTGTGACTTATTCTTTATGAATTGGAAGGGCCTTTCTATACCTGCAAGTCTGTCAATATATGCTGCTTGAGGCTTTATCATTGAAAAAACTCAGCTTTTATTGAACTAACTGTGCTATACTTGTTTAATTAAATTGTTTCATTTGGACTATCAGAGATTGAACTTGGCAAAACTAGGAACTGGTTCACTATGGAGATACTGGCGAAACTTCAACCTCGTAAGTTTCTTCTACCGCGATCATTTTCAATGATCAATGAAACATGTCAGTTCAAGTTAGTAACAGATATTGCATATGTGCAGGCACATATTAACCCTAACCCGACAAAGGAACAACTGCTTAGTGCTGTGCAGCAGCACTTCTCATCACAGGTCTTGTTCGTTCTCTTGCTATGCTCAACTGCATAATCTACTTGCTTAGCTCCAAGTTTTACTAATGGATGCTTCCAATCTCTTAATACGTGCAGCGAGTTGATGAGGTACAAGTGGTGGTGGAATTTATCCGTGCGGCCAAGAGATTAAGGTCAGCTGACACCCATTGAAGATTTGATAATAGGGTAAAATTGAAGAAGGTTGGATTATTATCTGTAATATAATGCATATAGAGTAAATATTATGAACCTCTAACTTAGTTAAGCTAATTATAGACTCTACTAATGGAGACTGGTGAGAGCTTCTTTGTTAGCTAATCACCCCCTAATTGTCTCCCGGATCCCTAACCTTGTATTATGCGGCTGTGACCCGGTTGATATTTATGACCATTTCTAGTGTGATTCCGTGTTACATGTGATGTCTTTATTTTATTTTTTCCTTTTAAGTTTTATATATATACATCCTAATGACGAGACATTAACGGTGATGATTCATATAGCTGATTCGAATATACTTCTGTATTGAGACGCGGGTTTGAGTTGTTTCTTGAGAATCATAATTTGTTGTTATGAATGCTCCTTGATTTTAAAAAAGCTGATTTCATAATTTAGTTTTCCTTTTCTTTTACGAGGAAACCTTGACGTAGTTGGTAAATTACATTCATGTGATTAGAATGTCATAGGTTTGAGTGTGAAAATAGCTTTTAGTCCCTTGCAGAAATTTAGGTAAGGCGGCGTACAATAAATTATGTGGTCTGGCTCTTTTTCCGACGCAAGCTCCAAATACGTTACGAACGTAAAGCCGTTTTAAACTGAATCTTTTGTACAGTAGGCTGTCTTTTCTGGCTAATTGGGTTTTCTCTTTTTTTTTTTTGGCTGTAATGCAGACATTCTAGACGAGGAAAAATATCTAAAAATATTACAGTATTAAATTTATTAATATGTACAAAATTGGTGGATATGGAGGCCAGGCTGTAAATAGGTGTCACGGGTCAACAATAAGTTGGCATATGTGGACCCATGGTGGGGTCTTATTTTATGTGTATTAAATATCTACCAACCGAAGAGATACTACTTTTGTGCAACCAAACCTAACATAGGCATCAAGTTTAATATATTAAATTATCAATAAGAGTTTGTGGTAGAGGGTAAGTATATCTCATCCTTAATTATATTTCTCGGGTTTTAACTTTGAATATAAATTTTTTTTGTTAGGTAATAATTTACTTCAGTAGCGAAATCAGAAATTTTGGTCTCCTAGCACAATGTAGCTTGCCCTTGCTTTACCTCCAATATGACATTTTAATTTAATTTTAATTTAATCAGACTTTAATACTACGTGAAACTAGAAAAAAAAAAAATTTTGAATTTTTATTGGGAGATTGAGAAGAGTACCTTTCTCTTCACGTTATTAAGTTGGTACCAAAAGAATTCTATTATTGGTCCCTACAAAAGATTTTGTGCAAAAGGTTAGGGGGGCTTCTTTGGATTTGCTCTATTATTTCAGTTTTATAGTGGACCCTCTTTGTCCCCCCACCCACCTATAATTGGAATTTTAAAATTAATGGGATAGGGAGCTTCGTATATTAAATTATTACTTTTTATTTATTTAAAAAATTAAACCTTAGTTTCTGTGTGAAGTCAAACAGCAAATTAGAAAGCTAAAGTGTGGATGAATATTTATTCGTCACTTTCTCCTATTATGGATTCTAAGTTTTCGTTAGAGTATTATATTTCGATTTGAATTTATTCTAACTAGTATTAGGGTATGCGCTTTGCGCGTGTACCTATATCAATAAATATATAATTTTTAAAAATTATATATATATTATTCAATAATGTGTTTTAGTTATTGAAAAAGTATCAAAGAAAGAAAATGTAAGTTTCTAAATATAGTGAATGTTAATCTCAATAAGCTAGTTCATTAAACAAGAAATGCTACGCCACATAAGTCTTTATATATCTTATTATGATTTATGAGATAATATATATCTTATGAAAATTATTGTTATCTTTATTACCAAATACTATAAACAAATAACAAAAAAATACTTTAAAATAATTATTCAAAGATAATAAAACACATTGAAGAATTTGAATCTTTGGGTCTTTTAGAAATTTGTGAGCGTAGAGATAGAACTATAGCTCCTAGATACCAATAGATAAATAACAATATAAAGTATGAAATAGCTAATATTGAATTATAAAAAATGATGTAATACGATATGAAAAATATAGGGAGCTACATTTATTAAAATAAATATAAAAAGAAAGAAAAATGATAAGGGTAATTTTTGTGATTTTTTTTTTGTCTTGGGTTATATCCTTATTGCTTCAACTTAACATTTTAGCAATTTAACTTTTAATACTATATTATAATAAATTTTTCTCTATTTTCTTATTTCTTTCACGGCAATTGCTCTTATTGTGTAAAATAATTTGTGTACCTTAAGAGTTTTATCAACTTGACAAATAAGTTTACTTACATAATAATTTTAAAACAAAATTGAATTGACTTTTCCGTTGCTTTATTAATTCAAAGACTTAATTATTTGTTGAGATTTTATGCTTTTTTGATAGTATAGAAGATACAAATTATTTTCAAACTATTCTCCTACTCGAGCATAATATTATTCTCTTTATCGATTTTATGTAATATTGAAAACTACATTTAATAATTAGAACAAATATTTAATTAGGTAATGTTAGAATTATAAGTTCCCTAATAAGAGGAATCAATGTAAACATATTTCTATGGAAATCACGTGAGTATACAAGGAAAAGAAACGTAATACTCTTAATTAATTCTCTTAAATAATATCTATTTTAAAGTCCTTAATATTGGGGTTTCTTATTTAATTCAATAAGGAAAAATCTAATAATCAAATTTTAGTTTCTTTTAAAGTCCTAAATATTAAGATAATAATTAAATGACTATTTTGTCTAGTGTGAGCTCTATTTTAAAAGGATAAAAAAGGCAAACGACATTTCGCTAAGGGCCTTCGTGCTTTTAATATAGTATAGATAGATTAAATAAATTCTTTAATTTTAATTTATCTTTTAATTTATTTTAGTCTAAGCATTTCAAATGGAAACGGAAGAAAGAGGGAAAATTTTCTATTTGGTATGAGAATACTTAGGCCAAAGCGTGTTAGTGCATAGTTGGAATAAGTAAAAGTTTAATATGGAAAAGTTTAGTTGATTTCAAATTCTTAAATATTTAGGATTCTTACATAATTTAAATAAGGAAATAGATTCAATAGTAAAGATTATAGTTGGTTTAAAAATCCTAAATATTAGAAAAATAACTAAAAGACTTTTTTGTCTAATGTAAATTCTATTTTTAGAGGGTAAAAAAGGCGAACAACATTTCGCTAAGGGCCTTCGTGCTTTTAATATAGTATAGATACTAGATAATTTGTTTTTCAAGGCAAATTACTGGGTATTTAAAACTAAAATTTTTCTCTATGTCACACCTTGTCCCTATACAGAAATATAAGTTGTGAACAAGAATAAAAAGACCCTAAAAACATTATGTAACGGTAACAACAACAATCATGCCTTGATCTTTATTATAGTACTTAATGTCATTTAAATAGGAGCAAATGATTGACAAATCTACAGGGAGAGGAATGGCTGACACGTCGCCAAATACTCCTACTTTGTTTTGTTATTAGATAAGTTAGTATTAGTTGTAGTACAGATTGACTTCTCTATAACATCCATATATAACAACACTTCACTATAAAAGTCAAGCTTTTTTGGAACCAAATTTCATATTATGTTATAATATATGTTATCTATGACAGCACTTCGCTATAACATTCAAAAATATTCGAAACAAACAAGACTGTTATAGAGATGTTTGACTATACAAAGAAAACGGCAGATTGCATTCTCTGAGCTCCACTTCGACAAACATTCAGAATAAAGATCGTCGAGCTGCCAACAATTCTAAGGATTCAACTACCCCATGCCAATGGATCCTTCATAATAAACCAAGCATATCTCAAAATGGGCCTTGTCTTCGAAGCCCACAAAATATTTGGGCTGATAAGGAACTCTAAATTGGGCTCAAATAAGGTTTTCAACTTTTGGACAAACCAGGGCTTTGATACCAGTCTTGAATAAACTAAGCCCACCTAAAAGAAATACAGTGAAATCTCTCTATAACAGCCTCGTTTATTCTCATATTTTTGACAGCTATAATGAAGTGCTGTTATAGAGGATATATATTATAACAATAAAAATCAGTTCCAAGTAAAACTTGGCTTTTATAGTGAATGATTGTTATATAGAGATGTTGTTATAGAGAGGTCTGATTGTACTACTTTCTCCGTTTGAGTTTATGTGAACCTTTTCTTTCTTGCTCTCTTCTAAAAAGAATTATCCCTTTTAATTTAGAAAAAAATTAACTTAAACTTTCAATTATACCCTCAATGAAAAGCTTTTATACCTACACAAATACTACGACATTTTTAACATCACAACCTTCAACTAAATTATAGCCACAAAAATATTAAACTATATTAAACTAGTTTATTTAGGACCACAAATTTTAAAAATCTTTATTTTTTTCTTAAACTTCGTGTTGAATTAAATAAGTTCATGTAAATTGAAACGGAACGAGTATAATGATGATAATAATGGTATTACAACTCCACTAGATACATCATTAGTTGGAATGATAACTTATTGAGATAATAAATTATTCTAATCCCGATAGGTAAGGTACGTCTTCGGCTTAAAATAATTGTTCTCCACTATAGAATATCACAATTCTGTTGGCCCTATTATTTATTTTTTTAATTTTGTTGATAAGTAAGTTGATCCAATTATAATAGATTATCCTACATATTTTGGTGCTTATATATTTCGCTTACATTTCTTAATCAGCAAGAACAGAATTTATTTCTAATATGATGTCATCTTTGTGTTGCATAACTTGCTTCAACAACTAATTTATGTTTTTCTTTATTTTAATCCAATAAAAATATTTATGCTGTCCAAACAAATAAGCCCTTTTGTTTCTCTTTGATAAGTCAATCCTGTAATAATATGCAAACAAGAAATATATAATAATAGAATACCGCTAAAATATTGGTAATGTAGGCAAGAAACGTCAAACGCGGCTATCTTATTACCGGCTAAAATTCAGAAGCTTCCGCAAAATATACACGATAGTGATATTCAGCTAAAGCGACGAATATTCTTTCCAAACGCCGCCCCAACAAGCCACCACCGGAGGCGGATGTCCTAACGGGTTTAACTGAATTCATAATTCTCGACGCATAATAAAAATTCATTAAAATTGCAAAAATAGTGAATATGAACCTATAACTTTGAAACATATAATGAGTTCAATGCTAAAAACCTTAAAAGTCGAACTCATAAGATTTAAATCCTGGATCCGCCTCTG